ACAGTGTGAGATTATGTGCAGTGAAACAGATTGCATATTAGCCAGGAATTCTACAAGCAGAAATTATTATTGCACAGTTAAAAAGTGAAACCTGAGTCAAACGTGCAGTCCAGAGATTGGATCCCAAGATGATGATGTTCAGTGGTCCTCTGTGACAATACTCGTTTTGGCCAAAAGGTGGCAGCAAGCTCCTTGTCTATCCATGGCCATTTACATTGATTTAATTTGCCACTATTACACTATTTAACCATTATGTATTTCACACTATATATTATATTTCATATAGAATAACTGACTTACAGCTTGATATGTAACACACTGGTTAACATACAGAAGATGCTCTTCTATTCAGGTACTTTATCGCTACATCTCCAAATGTACTGCAACCAGTGTTCAGTATTTTAGTTGATAAGCAGTGGTCAGTAAGAGGATTTACTGCAGTGTATAGTTACACAACTTAAGTACAGTCACTAATCACAGATACATGGACTAGATGGAATAAAACATAGAGGTAATTGTACTTTAATGTAAATGAAAAGTTAAATCAAAGCTCCGGTTGAGTATCAGCATCGAGCCGTTCAAAGTAATCATTCATTTTTTGATGCACTCAAGTGCTGGGACACAGCCAGGAGCAGCAGAAAATACCCTCATCCATCTTTAGAAGGGTCCTGTGATTTGAATTATAATTTAATTTATAAAATGTATTATGCATATATATTAACTTATCCTATAATAGTATTTGATGTAAACCACAATAAATTGCAGCTCTTTTCTTGGACGTCACACAGAGCTTGTTTCTTTCTATGGGAACTTTTTTCACATAAACTGGGATTAATTGCTTGTTCAGTTACATAACTTTACACTCAGATAGATATGGTACTGATTTAAATCATTTTCTTTTATCAAATGCTTTCTTTGGGTCGATTAAGATAAAAATGTTTCGGGGAAAAAAATTGACTGAGCTCCAGAATAGGTTTCCCTTAAACTAATGTCTTGCAGGGTCTAAAATTACAATTCAAGCTCAAATCGATTGTTTGAGTTTATATTCTGCTCACATGGGACACTGCAGTGGATGAGCTGACACACAGCTTTGTGCACTATACTTAGTGGCAGTGGTGGGATATAGCAAAG